CAGCCATGAGTTCAATAAGCCCTTCCTTACTGCAGGAATTGTGCCAGGGGAATCTGTGTCCTTGTCCATGTCATCAGTGGCATGATCTGCTCTACAGTTTGTAGACACTTGGACTCAGTTGCGCAGAGGTTTTCAGAAGATGAAACGCCACTCAGTTCCATAGGATTCAAAGAGCCCTAAATGACCATCTGAAATCTATCATCTCTTATTCTCTCATGAGTCTTCACAATCCTCATGCCCAAATCTTGTTTTGGAACTTGCTGAAACCTACAGAATTGTCATCTATAATGGGATTTCTAGCTTCAAAAGAGAAAAACCAAACAAACCACAACTTCAGCATTCCTTTCTTGCTCGTGTGTCTTTTTCACATGTTGGCTGTCAGACTTGCAGTGTCCCACCAGTCCTCTCTCCTACCAGTCCTCTCTCCTCTGCCACTTCAGGAACCAAATGGCATTGGCTTTCACAACAGTAACACCTTCAGTAAACACATCATAAGCACCCAGAATGAAAAAAAGAAGCCAACAGAAGTTTGACTTTAAACACATAGTTGCTCCACATCACAAAGAAAGAACACTCTGGACTTTGGCAACACTTAGATATATCTTATTAAGTCAGTAAAATATTATTTAGTGCTGATTGAAATTGTGAGCCTTTCTAAAATACTTCTGTAATTTGGGACTGCTTGGATGGAGCTGTGTTAATCAATCATGAAACAGCAGTCTGCTTTGACTTAAGAGTATGTAGCTTCAGCAACATTTAGAGTTGATAATAGGGAAGCTAAGCTAGTGTATTGGGTTTCTGTGGCTAGATTTTGGTAGCAGGGAGGGCTACATAGATGTCTTCTGTTAAAAGCTGCCCTATCTGGTCAGTGCCAGCCAGACCCAGGATGGGCTTCCTGACACTGGACAAGGCCAAGCCAATTAAAAGTGATAGTAAGACCTCTGTGATAACATATTTAAAAGTTATTATCCAGTCAGAATTCCAGCCAGGGAAGAGCAGAGCAAGAACATGTGAACAACAAAGTAGACACCAGGGTCAGTGCAGAAGGAGGGGCAGGAGGTGCTCCAGGCACCAGAGCTGAGGCCCTGCAGCCCGTGGTGCAGACCATGGTGGGGCAGCTGTGCCCCTGCAGCCCCTGGAGGGACATCAGGGTGTGGAGACCCACCTGCAGCCCATGGAGGATCATTTGGATGTGGAGACCCACCTGCAGCCCATGGAGGCTCCCATGCTGGAGCAGGTGGATGCCCAAAGGAGGCTGTGATCCTGCTGGAGGCCCAAAATGGAGCAGGGTCCTGCTGGTGACTGCAGCCCATGGAGAGGGAAGGCCATGCTGGAGAAGCTTTTCCTGAGTGGGATTTGTAGCCCCTGTGGGGGACCCACACCAGTACAGCTCATTCGTGAAGGACTGTACCCCATGGAGGAGGGACCCATGGGATGGCAGTTTCATGAAGAACTGTTGTCTGTAGGACGGACTCATTCTGGAGAGGTCCATCAAGGACTGTCTCTCGTGGGAGGGACCCCATGGGAGCAGGGGAAGGACTCCCCTCCCTGAGCAGAGGCAGAAACAAAAACTGACCAAAACCACCATTCCCTGTCCCCCTGCACCACTGGAGGGGAGGAGGGAGAAGATGGAAGGAAGGAGGGGTGGGGGGAAGGTGTTTTAGGATTATTTTACTTCTCATTCTTTTGCTCCTATCCTGTTAGTAATCAGTAATAACTTCAATTAATATCCCCACTTTGAGTCTGTTTTACCCATGATGGTGATCACTGGGTGATCTCTCACAGCTCTTATCTCAACTCATGACTCTTTTGCTGTTTTTTTTTTCTCCTCTGTCCAATTGTAGAGGGGAGTAAAAAAGCTGTAGTGAGTAACTGGCATCCAGCCAGGGTCAACCCACTACAGCCAGCTATATCCCTTGCATCATGAGGTTCAGGCCCACATTACAGAACCTGCAGCCACAGTTTCCATATTCTCAGCATGGCTGGGCCCAGCTCTTGGGTGCTCACACAACCCTGTCAATCTGTGCACCCCAAGGGAGAGGAGATTGCCTGCTCTGCCTTATTGCAAGGCTCAGTGTTGTCCCTAGGAGTCAAAAAGCCACAGATAAACTCTCTGATTACTGTGGCTAGAAACATTTCACTGCTTTGACAGCTGTAGAAAAGGAGCCTACAATACAGAGTTACCCTTAGCTCTATTTCAGCCCATAATTCCCACAAGCCAGCTATCCTCTTGTGCTGGGACTGCTCTTTTTCCTTGTAAAACAAGAACAATATTTTAAAATATATCAAAGTGTTATTTTCAAAAATGAATTAAGCTGTGAAACTCTATGACTCACCAAAGATGCAAGGGGAAAGAAGGAGAAATTCAGGACACGTGGCTTTGGTGGGTGAAAAGGGGTTGTTCCTGACTTCTGATGGATCAGGCTGAATTCAGATGACAGTGCAAAGACTATTTGGGATCAGACCCCACATACATTCAGCTTTGCTTCCTTTCTTCCTCATTTTCATGAAATGGAAGGGCAGAAAATGAAACTGCCCCATCATTCAGGCATCATCTCATTACCCATGCCAAGATAATACCCATAAGCATGTCTTTTGAGCAGCAGAACAGGCAATGCCACTGAGAAAATATGCCATGTCAGCCACAAGTACCAGAAAAACATTGCTTATGACAAAGCAAGGTGGCCCTTGGTCTATAAGACTAAAGCCTGAGGATTTCAAAACCCATTTTGGGTAGAAAAAACCCCACTCAAACTCATCCATATTATGTGTGAGAAACACAGTGAGTACAGAGAAAAAAAGCAGCAACTGAAGCAATCCTGGACCAGCCTTGGGCCTGAACCATCCGAAACCTTTGCCTGTGTCCATGAATAGTGTTTACTAAATTCTTATGCTTTGGCACCAATAAGAGACTTCAGCACAAGCTGACTGCACAGCCACTAGGATTTTTAATGACCAATAAATTATCTGCTGCTTTGGAAAAGCCAGTTATCACATTTAATTTGACAGCCCCATACAGGGTGAATTCCACAGACACAAAACAAATGTCAGGCCTCAAGACTAGTGCACATTTCCCGACATGCAAAATAGACACTCACCAGTTGCTCTCTTAGGAGGATGGAAAAAGCTAATCCCTCTAAATTATGCAAACCAAACAGCGAGTGAAGGCCTAAAGACTCAGCATTTACTCTTAACAAGTAGAGCATTAACCACACTACTGCTTTTCACATCTGCCTTTTATTTTTTTTTTTCCTTTCAATGATACGCAGTGCAGCTATTTTAAGATCTACTCCTGAGTGCCTGCAGCTGGTACACCTTGGATAGTAGGAATACTTGGAATAGTAGGTGCTCATTTCCCCTCAGATCTGCCAACCTGCCTCCTAAATGTTTATCATTGTAGTGTAGAGAGACTTGGACCATGGAAGATCTTCTCCAACTCCTGTTTAATTTTTCATCAAGGAATACAGTGAGTGGAGAGCTTTTTCTTTTACTTGCTTTGTATCTCATTTAGATCTGGGCTGGAACAGAAACAGAGGAGGAGCATCTACTGAACTCTAAGTGCTTTCCAGCTCTGGTTCACATCTGTTACTAATGTATCTTTATGTTCCTGGGTAGTTTAATAAACATGGAAGTAAGAGCTATCTGATAAATTTGGTCCTTTAATTTCAGAGGTTGATGTCTGGCTCTGACACGAACCTCTTGGAGAGGCTGATGTATTTACATGATACGTTTCCCACACTTGCAAATTGAAATAACAACATGTGAGAAAGTCAGAAGAGCTCCGTGTGTAAAGTTGGTGCTACTGGAAAACCATCTAATGGGGCAGCAACCCTACTGTCACTTTGCTGTCATGTGTGTCAGGACAGGGAGAGACTCTGGCTCTGTGCACGGTCGCACAGACTGGTACCGGTGATGTACTTGAGACGCTAAAATAAGCTGCGGAGCAGACTCGGCGCTGGCAAGCGCTTTACTCAGAATTCATGCGAGTGAACAACAGCCGCTCTCCCACATAATTAAACGGTACGGTACCTCCGAACGCTCTGAATTACAGGGCCGCGTCCGCTCCCCCGAAGCAGCGGGCCGGGTCCCGCTGTCGCTGCAGCGAGACCGGAGCGGCCCCGCCCGGCCCGGGTCCCGCCCGCGCTCGGCAGCGGGCGCTGCCCCCGGCGGCCCGCAGGGGGCGCGGCGGCCCCGGGCGCTGCGGGAGCCCCGCCGGGCGGGCGGAGGGGCGGGCGGACCTTTCCCTTCCGCGGCCGCGCCGCTGTGCCGGGGGAACCCGGGGCCGGGCCGGGCCGGGCCGTGCCGAGCGCTGAGCGCCGCGCCTGGGGGCACCGCCGAGCGCGGCCCCTCCGCGCTGCCGGCAGCGCGCAAAGAGGTGAGCGCCGGGCGGGCGGAGCTGTGCGCGCCTGCGGGGCTTTTCCGCGGGTGCGGGGAGAAGGGAGGATCCGCGAGGGGGGGATGTGGGGAGGACCGTGAAGAGGGAAGATGCGGCGCGGGGGGCACAGGTGCCCGCAGGGATCGCGGAGCTGGGCGTGCTGGGCAGCGCCGGTGGCCGCAGCCGCAGGAACCGCCCTGCGGCCGGCGGGGGCACCTGCCGGGACCAGCCGGGGAGCAGCGCCCACCCGGAGTTGCGGGTGATGAATCAATATCTGCACAGAAATGTAAAACAGACCTGCGGTGGCGGTGGCGGCGCGGGGCAGCAGGTCGTGCCGCAGGCGGCGGTGCGGGGTTGGGGACCGGCGGGCGACCGGAGGAGGCAAACAGCGATGTCCTTCTCCTTCCCCTTAGCCCAGCCCGCTACGTCCCGAAACAGTTTGTGCTTCTAACTGTCCATGCAGAGTGAGAGTGATCTGATACTTAGGCAAAAGGAATCAGGAGCACTAAGACGTCAGACATGAATCGGGACCCTTGTCGATGTGAGGTGTCTTTACTCTTTCTTTTTACAAGCTTTTTTTTTTTGAATAGGAAAAACCCTCAGACTTTTATTTCAAGAAATACGTTTGAAATGTATTTTGCTGTAAAGCAGGTAATGCTGACATAGTGAGCTTCCTATATCACTGTTAGAATTTATGGCTAAAGTGGGTACTTCAGCACAACGGCAAACCTTGATAACACATTCACAGGTAAAGTTCTACCCTGTTTTAAAAATAGAGTGAATTTTTGATGTTTAAGTCAGGGCTGAGGATCATCATCATCCTCTGAGTTGCCCTTTTTTCCCTCAAGATCTTAAAACGTTCTACAGTGACAGGTATGGTTATATATTTTACTGTCCAGATTGGAGAAATCAAATCAAAAAGATGAGGTGTCAGGTGACTTGCTCAAGGTAATGTAGCGAATCTGTGAACAAAGATAATTCCCATACAGCCTGTTAAAAGTACATTACCAGCAATTCTGACATTCTTTTGCTAACCCCGTGCTTTGCTGAATTTTTATGTATGAGCTGAGGCAGCTGAAAAAGGAGCACTAGTGAACTTTCTGGGTACAGATTTGCTTAGTACAGTGGGCAAGGTACAAGTACTTAGAGGTTTTTAAGCAACTGCAGCTGAGTAATTGAAACCTTTTCGGAACTGGAGAGCTCGAGGAAAGATTAGCTATCTGCAGGCACTACTAGTAAATGCTCACAGCTATTAAGTAATATTCTACAAAAAGTAATTTGTTGCAGTTGAGTCAAATACAGTAAATACATGCAATTGCCACTGAAAGAGAAAGAAAGAATAAGGAGCCTTGTAAGGCAGGCACTCTGCCTTGATCAGTACCTTTTGCAATACTACAGTGCCAGCGTGAAGTAAACAGCAGTAGCCAGAAAGCTGAAGGTAGGTTTTGCACGAACAGTGCCAAATATGTCAGTGGTGTTACTGCAGTGTTTAAAGCAGGAACGGAGCATCGATTATCATGACTATTTAAAAAAAGAAAAAAGGGAGGGGGACGGGGGAAAGTGAGAGCCTGGCTCCTTGCAGTTCCATCCTTGTGGTATTCTTCCCCAGGCTCTGCATTGACGTCACAATGACACAGTGAAGCCAAACACAGGAGCTGGGAACAGTTCTTCGGCTTCACTTTTGATAATTGAGTGAGTTTGCCACCCCTCCATTCCTTCCAGCATGGCTAAGAGTGCAGAAGTGAAATTGGCGATCTTTGGTCGGGCTGGTGTGGGCAAGTCAGGTATGTTTGTCTTCTGCTTTTTTCTTCTGCTTCTCAACAGGCAACTTTTTGCTCCCTTTGTGCAGACAAACTCTTTGTAGAAAAGGATATCTGTGACCTTATTCTAGTTAGAGCGGTCAGGATGAGGCCAGGAATTCTCTCTTCCTTGGCTGTTTATGCTGTTTTCTCCAGGTTCTCCAGAATAAAAATAGTTTTATCACTTTTTAAGAAAAAGCTCAACAACAAACAAACTTCCCAACCCAAATCAAACCAGCTTCTCGCGAAGTAAGTGGCAATATTCCTCTTTTCCAGTGGGACAGAATTAGTATACTCAGTTTGTCTCTTCATAGCTTGTGCTAGACGAAGGCATTTACATTATGCTCCCTCTCCCCTAAGATCCCTATTTTAAAAAATATTACATTACTTCTGTAATAGTTGTCATTCTGGTTGATTTCCACAGGAATTTTAGACTCAACAACTCAAAGAATTTTTGTTCTCAGTGCTCTCCTGGTTTTACATATTTATGAGGAAGCCAAGAAAATACGATTTGTAAAGTTTACATTTGTAGAGATCTTTTGAGAAATAAACAGTCTGGTGAGTTCATATGGTAGAAACACAAGGGGGAGGCATAAATGTTAAAAATCCATTTCTACAGACAGCCTTTCCTTCCATGAGATAAGGAGTGTAACATGAGAGTTGCAAGCTCCCTCAGGTATTTTGGTGGTGTTGCATTAACTTGACAGCTCCGTGACCACTCTAACATGTCCTTGTCCCACAGGGATGAAGAAATAAGGAGACTTAGTCTAATAATGCTCCTGTGCCAGTTTGGGAACTGTAAGTTACTGTTTATTCTAGAAAAAATCTGCTCAAGAGAAGCCAGGAGATGGGATATACTGGGAAGAGCATTAGGCTAGACTCAGCTGCTGTGAACCAGCTCCAGTTTCCCAAAGTGACTTTATGTTAGACATGCCAAGGTTCTGTCCCATAAATGTATTATTGTTTCACTAACTTCAGAATGGGTTGTTTATAAAAGCACGTTTACCCAGGAGGTATTTTACCAGAACACTATCAGTGAAGTAGCTCTGTCTGCCTTCACAAAAAAAGGCGTATGTGAGGCAGAAGTTCTTGGAGACTAAATTGCTTATTCAAAGACAATGCAGATTAAATTCTGTCTTTTTGAATAGAATACCTGAGGGAATTCTGATAATATACTGGGATAAATTTAAACTGTTCCTTCTTCTCTGCTATGCTCACCCCACCCCTTTTTTTGTATTTGCATTTCATTGTCACGCGTAGGTTTCGTAAATAACTTCAGTGGTTCTCCTTTTGGTTTATCTTACATTTAGTTGATGGTTTCTGTGGTCATCCAGTCTTTTGACTGGATTGAAAATAATGCAAAAGAAGGTTGAAGTATTTGCAGGAAACTTGAAACACTAAAAAAGGGTCCCCTCACCCTGGTATTCGCAACAGTTTGAGAACTTGTCTTTAAAAAATACAAAACTACCTGTTAAGTGCTCAGTTAAAGTGCTACACCAGTATAGGATTAACCAGAGCCTTTTTTTACCTGTTGTATCCCTTTTGTAGATTTCTGTATGCTAGGATTTTGTGGTAGAAATGTTTTCCTGTAGTCCTGGAACTGGGTGGGAAATAAAAGAAATGAAAAGCCAATAAAAACATCCTAGTCCTTCAGAATCCTCCTCCTCTTTCCTTTTTTTTCCACTTGACATGCAAGGAAATATTACATAAAATATGACTAAGGTCCCCTCTTTTGACTGTGACCACGTACGTGAATCTGTGTGGAAATGAAGGCGCCAATAAGTGGGCAGAACAACAAGGTGAATTTAAGGGGGTGGAGCGCTCTCAGCTACCTCGACAGAGCGCCACTGTGCCTCCCAGATTCTCCAGCTTGCTTATGAAAACCCCTCTTGTACATTCCCATAAAAGGATCCAGTTTCAACAGCTCAGCCAACTCCAGAGAAATAAGTGTGTGTGTGTCTGTGTATCTGTGTGTGTGTATGAGGGGGGTGGTGTCTGAAAATACCTATTTGCCTGTAGCCAACAGTAACAATAGTGGGAGCTATGAAAGTGCTATTAAACCTTTGCTAAAAACACAAAGTAATCTCCAGATAGCTGGGTCTGATTGATAAAACCCTGCTAGATTAGTATTGATACTGTCTTTTTTTTTTTTTAGTGTAACTGTGTAGTTTGCTATCCCTGTGACCAGTTCATAATGCATTGTTGAGACAGGATCCTGTGACCATAGCTTACTGGAATAGACTTGGCCAGAGAGCTGAAAGATAAGCCAGACTCTAGAAGCAAGAACGTGAGGCAGAATACTGGAGCACACCAGATATGTGCAATGAAAAGGAGATGTTGGGTGATAAATAAGGGCACTATAATTGCCAGAAAATCATGCCAAAATATAGTCACTGGCTTGCTTTCTTGGCTTATCTTCGTTTGCTGAGGAAGAGCCAGGCATTAGGTTCTTAATCTGTAAGTGGCTTCACCACCTGACAGCATCTGTGAAGTTACAGACACAGTTTTTTTTTCCACTTACTGCCTGAGACTTTGGATGAGTGAGTCAAAGCATCTGTGATGAAAGGAGTGTTGTGCTTCAGGACATGTGGAGAATTAAAGTCGTACCTCATACACTATGAAAGTCATTAGACCTGTTAACCATTGCTGAGAGCTGAGGAACATCCTAATCTCGTTAATGATAGACATCTATTTAAAGGGGTGCTAGATTCCTTGTTCTACAAAGTAGTCCCTTCCAAGACTCTTTCAAACATGAGGTGAGAAACCAGAACACTCTTCACAAATCTGAATAGTAATAGGATCTCAAAAGAGTTAAAGCCAGGGAAGATAAAACTTTTCTTCACTTTCTTGCTGCTTATAAGTTTCCACAGTTCAAAGGTTTAAAGAACTAACAGGAGGCAATGGCAAGTGTGTCAGCTTTTCACAGTTCTCCTTCCTTGCCTTCTCACCTCCTGCCTGCTGGGGAAGGCCAGCAGAACGGCTAATCCAGCTACCTGTCCAGTTTTGGTTTTTTACCTAATGTAGACCTAAACCTTTCAAATAGAAAAAGAGGAGCAAACCAGCTCAGAAAGGGGCACACAAGAGTGCCCCTGTCTAGTTATACTGAGTAATGAGCAAACTCATCAGGCACAAGCATCCCAACCTGTGGACTAGATGCTCCTCCATTCACCCAGTTCTTAATGTATAAAAGTTGCATAAACGTTGTTTTAAACTAGCTGAAAAAAAGCAGATGAGGAGCTCTGCCTGAGCCAAGGAAGATTTTGCAGCTGCTTTGCTTGGGAAGAGGAGGAAATGCTCTGTGGGTGGGAAGGTACATTGCTAAGCCCTACTGTAGATAACAGGGCTGTACCTCCTAATTTGGGCTAGAGTCAAGTGGCACTGAGGAGGAGAGAGCTTTTAAAGTATTTTTTTTATGCCCAAGAGGAGCTTGGATGGAGCAGAGAATTAAAGTTGAAGTAAATTACTTAAACATTGCTGTTTAAATTGTTCTTCTGCTGAATCCTACAGCTTCATTCCTATGGTAACAAAAATTAGAATTTCCTAAATAGCTCCTTTTAAAATTGCAGTAGTAGCTATTAATAAAGACTAGAAGCCCTTGTTCTTCCATGTTGTCACAAGGTACAGTACATGCCCAGAAAGCTAAAGGGGAGTGAAAATATATGAACCAGGAGGAGAAAAATAGGACATGCACTGGATAACACTGCACGGATGATGCTTTTCCACCTCATAACTCAGTTGACTATGAATGCTCAAAATACATCTGCTTAAGAACCTTTATATTTCGGCCAAAAAAGAGACAATGTCCAGCTGCAGCATGCACTAACCAACTTGCCTTTTTGCTGTGTGTGTGCTGGGTTGACTACTCCAGATTTCTGCATTAGCATGTATGGTTTGCCCAGCCACAGGCAAATGCAGTTCTCATGTGTCTGGATGGGCTGTGCATCTACAGATGTGATATGGGACATGGAAGTTTGTGCGGGTTCTACTGGTGTTTAAGCAACAGGAAAGATAATAAAGATCCTGCAGGCTTCCCCCAGTAAATGTGTCAGGTTCTAGGCAACTATGCAAATCATTTGTTTATGCAATCAGATACATGAGACACAGGGCTGTTGACACCTTTCTGTCCTGCAATAAGCTCAGATGTTTGCATTTGGGCAATAGGGTGACCAGTAAAGGGGCTTTAGTAAGTATCATAGGGCAAAGAGCCTGTCCCATGACAGAAATTAAGATCTAACCAATTCCAGTAGTGTCACAGTTGGGAAAGTTGTGAGCAGACATGTGTTTCTGTCTGTTGGCTTATGCTGTTTTCCCTGTCTAACCCAGGATGAAAGTTCAGAAAGTTCCTACTGAACATATTCAAGCAGGAGCCCAGCCAGAGAGGCCTTCAACAAATCTGTGTTTTGTTTTTGTTATTTGATGATGCGTCTGAGACATACTACCAGGGATCACTTCTCAATTGAAAGGTCTGGGCACGTGGGGAATAGAACTGAATTCAGCGTCCCCCCACCCCCATTCAAAAACTCGTGTGGATTACTGGGAAAGAAGCCCAAAGCAATTTTACTACTGCACAAATCCCTGCTCATATATTTTCCCCGACTAATTTCATGTCAGGGACTTCTGGGGAGGAAACATGAGTTATTAAGGAGTGATTAGTTATCAAACTCACAGCTCTGCTAGTAAGGCAAGGAAAGCTACCACATGAGCTTCAAAGTCTGTGCTATACCAGCTGATGTATCGAGGGAGGATTGCTGTAATAAGGTGCCTCAGAAATCCAGAAATGTGGTTGGAAAGAGAGCCTGGATTTTCTTTTGTGAGTTTTGGGTTTTTTTGCTTACACTAATGGAATAGATCAGTAGCATTTTTTTCCTTTGTTCTTGAGAATGGGAGTGACAACCAGATGCTTAAGGGATTATTCAGTGATCAGGTTTAACACCCACTGTATTAATTGTCCTGTATTATTTTGCTAGTAAAGCACTCATTAAACA